GTCAGGATCTCAGGGTCATAGGATGGAGTCCCACATCAGCTCCCTGCCCAGTGGGGAGCCTGCTTCTCCCTCCGCCTGCTGCTCCCCCTTCTTGTGCACTCTCTGACAAATAAATTATAAAATCCTTTAAAAAAAAAAAAAAAGTTTCATTTCCCGCCCCCCCCCCCAGTAGGAAGCATATCAGATTTTAACTCAGTCAGGTAGCCACAGTGGGGTTATGGGTAACAAACTCCAGATCTAGGACAATGCTTAACCAGTTTCTAAGCAAACAGACAGAAAGTACAGCCCTCCTAAGGGTTGCTCAGAAGTGCCCTTTTCATAATTCAATCATCTCATTAAAAGTTTGATATTAAGTGGATCTGGGGGGAAAAAAGGATTTAGTACAAATTGGGGCCCACAGAGGTCAAGAGCATAGAATATTGCCTACTTGCCTGAAAACAAAATGAAAAGGTAACTACTGTTGAAAACCCAAAAGCATACCCTGCTCCAGGGAAGTAATTTTCAGTGGTTTGCTCAAGTTTCGGGGGAAAAAATCCAGTTCTTTCCAGGATTTCTTGGAAAGTCGCTTAAGCAGCCTTCCACTGCCCCCCATCCTTCTTCATATCCCATTATTGTCTCTAGAAAATGCGGTGCTTTCCTCTGGGCAGAGAAAGTCGAGTCCATCTGTGGCATTTCATAATGTCTCAGGGCCTGAGAAGAACCATATCTTATTCAGGGGTAGAAGGTTCATGCACAGCAGGGAAAATTAGTTGTTAAAATTATACCCCAGGTCTCCCGGGCGTGCACAGGGTTAGCCACTGAGAGTAGCTGGAATCTGTTCGGCAGAAAGGCTGGCTTCTGGCCACGGCACAGGGCAGAAGGAAGGAAGGTGAAGCGTGTGCGTCCCAAGTCATTCGGAAAAAGTTTCAGAGGCCGGGCTGGAGCTGGGTTTCACGGGTCCTGAAGCTTCCTTGCTGTTGGGAGACCTTCTTTAAGGAAAGAAAAACAAAACTACAAGTACAAAAATTAGTTAAAGTTTAAGAAGCTGAGCAGTCCCACAAATATTACAAAATCCAGAGGAAGAATGCAGCGATTTTACTAATGAATTGTCTGAGGCATTTCCACACACTTTCTTCCCTCTATTTTCCGGCTGCCTGCACCTCTTCACGGAAGACTCTGCAGTGACATCGTCTGTGCAGACAGAAGAAAGGTCATTCTTTTCTCTAGCACGATTAATCGGATACCGGTTTTATTACTGAAGGTCAGACGAACTGTGACTTCACAGCTAGTTAACGGGAGTTATGTCGATGTTGAGGATTCCTGCCCGGTTGGGAAAACATCAATGAGCTTGCTCTCACTTATGGTTCACAGTTTTTGGGGCATGTCCAGGTCTCCTGGGCAGTGCTGAGCGTTAAGGAGTCTGAATCAATGGCTCTCATAACCCAGTGGGTGGTGATGGCCCTGTCAGGGGCTATGAAAAGTTTAAGTTCTTTTTATATTATATTATAAGTCCCATCTGCTGCAAGGGAGAACAAAGGCCACAGCAGGAAAAAAACGCAGGTCAGCACTTGGGGCCCCAAAGCTTGGCCACACCCGGAGCTTCATTTGCATTTTTTCTGTGAAGCTGGGCACAGTGAAGCTTTGTACTTGGAAAGGGAAGAATGCGCTCCCTGCCCACAGTGCCAGGGAGCAGCCTCCACCACCATGCAATCTGGAGACCAGGCCAACAGGGAGAGAAACAGAAGGAAAATAGGCAAACTTAGGGACCCTGCGGAGGGCGGGGTGGGGTTCCTGGCGGTCCACGTGGTCAGGGCTGGTAGGATTTCAGCAGATAGATGCCCTGGGAACAGACCCACGCTTCTAGAGGAGACAGAGAATTTAAACGTGGGGCAGAGGCTTTAGTAGCAGATCCACAGCCAAATGCTTGTCCATGGTGCTCCCCAAATGTGAAGCCACACCGAGGATAATAATCCCACAGCAATCATGCTGACCCCTGTACTGCCCTGAGAATAAGGAAACTAAATGTAGGAGTTGGCTTGGGCTGCCATAACGAAGTAACACAGGCCATGTGGCTTACACGACAGAAAGGCATTTTCTTGAAGCTCTAGAGGCTGGGAGTCCAGGACCAGGATGCCGGCACCGGGGGTCCTGGCGAGGATTCTCCCCAGTCACTGGCTTGCTGTGTCTCCACACATGGGAGTGGAGGTGAGCTCTCTGGCGCTGCTTCTTACAAGGACACTAATCCCACCACGAGGGCCCCAGCCTCATCACCTCTCCTGACCCAATTATCTCCCAAGGGCCCCAACTCCAAATACAATCCCATGGGGGTGCGTCTTTTGTCACATGAATTTTGGGAGAGACCTAATTCGGTTCATAGCACCAGCTAAACGAAGGATCTAGAGGGTGGCTAAGCCACTCCCCTCTGCCCACAGGAAGAGCACAAAGCCACGCCACAACCTCTTCGGCCCTGGCTGGGCCACACCGTGCTGCCTCAGCACATTCGGGTCAGGGGACACTGGCGGCTTTCTGCGTGCACAGACTCAACAACCAAGCTTCTGGACAGTCTCCTGCGATAAGGTAGCTGAGAGCCTTCCTCCAAAGGGCACGCGGCCTGAGCCCCCCATCAGCCCGCTGAGCAGACGGCTGAGCCAGGTGGCTTCCTGGAGCTCGCAGAAGCCCCAAAAGAGGTGGTAGGCCATTGGCAAGCCCAGTGCTAAGGTGCTTGAAATGGGTCAGAAATGGGTCCCTCTGGGCCCCAGGTGGAACCGACAGGGACTGTGCCTCACTGCTTTACACACAACCTTGCTGATAACCCTGGTTCTTGGTGTCCAAACTAGGTGACGAGGTGATCCACCCACCGTGGATTGTGAAAAAGTGAAATAAAATATGCATATGAGCCTTTAGCCCTGTATCTGGAAGATTCCACCATCTGGGGGCAGGGAACAGTGCTGCTACTGATGGTCCTGCGACGGTGATGGGGGATCATTGGCGGTGAGGGGAGTAGGCTGATCCGTCCCCTCTGATCTCACTCCCCTGCAGGGCAAGTGACTCAGCCGCACGTGCCCTGAAATGAGCGGTTACTTGGAGACCGTGTGATGCCTCATCTCCGGGGCTGAGAATCACGAGTTTAAGATGGAAAGAGAAGGAAGTGCAGCACTGGGGAGGGCTGAGGGGACAAGGAAGAACCAGGAGTGCACGGAAAAAGAGAGGTTTGGTGGACAGAAGAGAAAAGGGATCGGATACGGCAGGTGGCATGGGCTGTGAGGAGGGACAGGAAACAGGTTTGGGATCCCCCAGAGGAGGCTGGAGCGTGAGAAGGTTGGGGGACAAGGGCCAAGGACTGGAAGTAAATATGCTTGAGGAAAAGCAAACAGGCAAACAAACCAACAACAATCATCTCTAAGGTGTTAGAAGAAAACCTTTTCAAGGATAGTATTTCACGCATTCCTAAGCATATCCCCATTCATTTAACATGCTGTGCTCTCTGGCCAATGGTGATGAAAGGCTCAGAGAGGTTACGAGACTTCCCTGAAGGCACACAGCTCCCTGAGGGCAGTGCTGGACTAGGAAGCCTCGTGTCTAGCTCTGAGTCAGGCACAATGCTGCCCCAAAGCACGGTGATGACCCCCCACCCCCCTCCCCCACCCCCACCCGTCCAGGATGAGACCACAGCCAATGCCTTGGGCCACTGGGGCAGGTGACTTTATAAACTGTAACTGACCCCCACCTGACCTGCTGTCCTTTAATATGTAGCCATCTGCTGGACTCTGGTCAGCCCCGCAAGGGTGGCGAGCCCCAGGGCCCGGCGCAGCCTGTTCTGTTGCGCTCCAGTGAGACCTGCTCATGTGAGCACTCGGCAATGGCATTTTAACTATGAGCTGCTTCACAGGCTTGGCCGAGGTTTCGATCCCACTTGACGCTGCAAACAGCAAGTAGTAAGAGATCCGATGCTGGCCAGTAGGATGCATCTTGGCGAGCCGAGGGCCAGCTGGGAGCCACACAGACTCCCCCGCTGATCGCCTGCACCCCAGGCAGCAGGCACCGCGGCAGGTTCTGAGAAGGCAGAACTAGTTAGCCCAGGCCTTGGCCTTGAGGAGCGCAGGGCCAAGACACGCATGTGCACCACGTGACCAGGGAAGCTCCGAGAAGGGAGGTTCCATCTCTGGGGGTGGTGGGGCACCTGAGAGGAGTCACCAGCAGGGGAGGCCTGGTGGGTGCTAACAAGCACTGCAGGGCTGAGCGTGCCTATTCTGGGTGCAGGCCTGTCTGGAGGCTCAGAGCTGAGAGAGGACCCCTCCCCCGGCCCTTCCCCAGTCCCCAGAGCATTTCTGCATGAGGGCGGGGCCGCAGTGAAAGGGAGGAGCCTGGCCAGCAGCCGTGCACGGAAGCCGCCCAGAGTTAGGATCTTACTCCGTAGAGACTGTATTAGGACCTTCTAAGCGGCAAATGTCACAAACCACCTCCCGTGAACTTACTACAGAAGCGGGATGGATTCGCCAAGGAATCAAAGCTCAGGGAGGCAGAGGTGGAGCTGGCGCTGGAGGGGTTGGGGTGAAGGCAGGACCCTGGGTGGGACCCCTGGAGGTGTCTGCTCTCTGTCTCCTCCTGGAGGGTCAGCTTCTCCCCACAGCAGGCATGTGACTGCTCAGCTCTGCCCACACTCCTGCAAAGAGCTGGCCAGGAAACAGGTTTCCATCCCCAGGCACAGCTGGAGGGCTCCTGGGGCAGATGCCCTGCGGCCCACCTTGGGGTTCATATTCCTCTTGCCCCCCCTTCTGGACAGAAACTCCTTCACAGGTGACAAAAGAAGGAAACTTCTCTGGGGCGCCTGGGAGACTCAGTCATTAAGGCTTTGCCTTCAGTTCAGGTCATGATCCCAGTGTCCTGGGATCCAGCCCCGCATCGGGCCCGTGCTCAGCAGGGAGCCTGCTTCTCCCTCTCCCACTCCCCCTGCTTGTATTCCCTTTTGCTGTGTCTCTCTCTGTCAAATAAATAAATGAATGGAATCTTTAAAAACAAAAAAACAAGGAAACTTCTCTAGTTTAATGTGTTTGGGAAATGAGGGGCTGAGCAAGGTGTGTGAGTCTCGCAGGGCTGCCAGTGCAAAGTCCCGCGGAGTAGGGGGCTTCAACAATAGAAATTCACGATTTCACATTTCTGGAGACTGAAAGTCCAAGATCAAGGTGTCCGCAGGTTTGGTTTCTTCTGAGGCCTCTCTTTGGGCCCATGGACGGCCACTTCCCTGTGTTGTTACATGGTCTTCCTCTGTGTGAGTCTGTGTCCCAATCTTTTCCTGTAAGGACACCAGTCATTTTGGATTAGGACCAACCCATATGACCTCATTTTACCTTAATTACCTCCTTAAAGATCCCATCTCCACATACAGTCACACTCTGAGGCAGTAGGGGTTAGGACTTCCACATCTGAATTCTGGGTGGATAGGATTAATAGGTGATTTGAAGTGAGTCCTGGCTAGGAGGTAATAGTGCACACGATATTAATTTCTAGGACCCACTGGGTTCTAGCTTTGTGCCAGACACTGTTCCAAGGCCTTTTCATGAAGTGACTAATTTTATCTTTGTAACAATCAATGAATCAAGATTTCCCAATAAAGTGCTTAGCTCCATTAAAAAACAAAGACAAAAAGCAAAACAAAGCAAACAAAGGCCCAGATGGAGGAGGTGGTCTTGAACAGAGCAGGAAAGATGCTGGCGGACTCTTCTTTGCAACAGTCCATATCCAGCACATCACCGTCCTTAAAACACACGACAAAGTCATGTACTTTCTTGCCCGATCTGTGTTAAAATACCTACTAGTTAATTTCATCAACAGACATCTACTGAAGCCTTACTCAGTATTGGGCACAGAGCAAGGTAGTTGGAAAACTTGCAGGTATAAGACATATTCCTGTGGGGGGAAAATTTCTTGTATATGGATTAAAAAAAGAAAAAAACCTCTCAAATGCTACAAAACAAACCAGCAGTAATGGTTAGCTGAGAGTGGGACTGGGAAGATAGGGACAGAGGAGTGGAGGATTGTCACTGCATGTCTTTTTGTATATTTTGATGTTTTTAAAAAGATTTATTTATTTATCTTAGTGGAGAGAGAACACGAGTGGGACAGGCAGAGGGAGAGGGAGAGAGAACCTCAAGCAGGCTCCGTGCTGAGTTTGAAGCACAATGTGGGGCTCAATCTCACGACCCTAGATCGGGACACATGCCGAAATCAAAATTCAGACACTTAACCAATGGTGTCACCCAGGGGCCTCTATTTTTATGGGTTTTTTTTTTTTTTTTTTTTTTTTTGGAACCATGTGTCTATATGGCCTATTCACAAAAGTTAAGTTTAAAAAAAAGTCAGGGGCGCCTGGGTGGCTCAATGGGTTAAAGCCTCTGCCTTCAGCTCAGGTCATGGTCCCAGGGTCCTGGGATCGAGCCCCGCATCGGGCTCTCTGCTCAGCAGGGAGCCTGCTTCCCTTCCTCTCTCTCTGCCTGCCTCTGCCTACTTGTGATCTCTGTCAAATAAATAAATAAAATCTTTAAAAAAAATAAATAAATAAATAAATAAATAAATAAATAAAAGTCAGACATGAACCACTCCTGCGCCCGGCCAAGGGGACCTGTCATTCATCATGTTCATATCAGGCTTTAATTTTAACAACAAGGTAAATGGAAAATTATCCCACCTTTACCTAACCTCCTTTAAGAATATGTGGGACTGAAAACATTGTCATTGCTCTGCAAGTGAAAAACAGAGGCCAAGAAAGAGTTTGTGGACTGATCACTCAACACGCTAAGCCTGAACTGGGGGTCTGGTTCTCTGATTTCTAGTTTGAGGCCGTCATCACTACATACACGGTTGGGCCTCGGAGTCTGCAGATAACGGAAGTCACTATAGCATTCATTCAACAAATATGTTTTAAGTCTCTGGTGAACAAAATGCACATGGTCCCTGACCTCTGTGGGTTTATGTTCTATTGGGAGAAACAGGCTGATAATTAAATGAGCATCTCATTACATGTTGTAGTAACTTCTACAAAGAAAAAAAAGAGATGCCATAAGGAGGACTGAGGAAGATGGTGGAGTAGGAGGCTCCTACGTTCATCTCAACCCACAGACACATCTAGATAACACTCACATCAGCTGAACCAACTCAGAAAATGACCTGACAGAACAGACTTTCCATGGTTAATTGTAGAAAGAAGTGAGAATGGTAGGAGGGGTAAGACATGTTGGGAACCAAACTCCTGACGGTGCTGACCACAAACAGGAGGGACACAAGCTTGGAGACATCTGAGGAGGAGACTCCTCACCAGGCATCACAGATACAGGTGACCTACGCCAGGAAGACAAGTCGCCATCACCACTGGTTTTCAAAACCGGTGGGGCTTAACTTTTCAAGTTTTTACAATCAGCAGGGCTTAACTCTGGATACTTTCAAAATTAGGGGCTTAGCTCTGGAAAACCTGGAGGGTGATCGGAAACTGAGTGCTCCCCCTTAAAGAAAAAGCCTAACAAACAACTCCACCAAGATACTGCAGTAGCAGCAGCAGTTTGAAAAGCACCTGTGGTGTATGTGAATAGTTGCTAACCTCAGAATGTGTGCTGAGGGGGAAGAGATCTTTGGGAGATTCTCCAAGAACAAAAGAGCTGACAGAGACCATTTCTCCCCCATCCAATCCCTTGCCCCCACCTAGACAGACCAACACTTCTGGAAACCAGTGTGAATACCCTTCACCCATCTTGCTGACACTGCAGCCCTGGGGCAGTGTTCTTCTGTGAATCTGTCCCATCCAAATCACATCACTCAGAGGTGTCCCTCTAAAGTGACTCTTGCCCTGGGGAGAGTCATACAACAGTATTACTGTAGTCCCAGTAACAGATTAGGGGCAGACATCTGGTCTGACTACCAGCCTGCCCACCAACAGAAACCTCTTAATGGACAATGTAGGGAGACTACCCTGCAGTCAGTGGGACTACAGCCCCAGAAGATGGGCTGAGGACAGGCATCTGGTCTAGCTGCTGACATTACCCAACTACAAGCCTACAGAACCCCAGACTGGCCCCCTAACATCACAGGGACCAAACCCTGCCCAGTGGGCCTAACAAAGGCAAAATGGGCCATTGGAAGTATTGGACTGAAGGCAAACGTGGCTAGCTATAACAGTAGTGTGCACTCAACCCGCACAGGAGACACCCCTGAAGCATGCTGGTCTGGTGACCAGGTGATATTATGCTACAAGGCACCACAGGACCTCTTCTTCATAAGGCCACTATTTACAAGATCAAGAGACACAGCTGATTTTCCTAACACATGGAAGTAAATACAGAAAACTGGACAAAATAAGGAGACAAAGGAATGTGTCCCAAATGAAAGAGCAGGACAAAACCATAGCGAAAGAGCTAAATGAAACAAAGATAGGCAACATGCCTGATTAAGAATTCAAAGTAATGGTCATAAAGATACTCACTAGAAAAAAAAAAAAAAAAAAGACACTCACTGGACTTGAGTAGAGAACCTCTGTGAGACTTAAACAAAGAGATAGAAAATATGAAAAGAAGTGGGGTGCCTGGGTGGCTCTGTAGGGCTAAGTGTCTGATTCATGATTTCAGCTCAGGTCATGATCTCAGTATCATGAGATCAAGCCCCACCTCGGGCTCCATGTTGGGCAAGGAGCCTGCTTAAGATTCTCTCTCCCTCTGCCCTTCCCAACCCCCACTCATGCTTTCTCTCTCTCCCTCCCTCTCTCTCTCTAAAAAAAAAAAAAAAAAGAAAGAAAAAGAAAATACTAAAAAGAACAAATCAGAGATGAAAAAACTCGGAGACAAAATTAAAAATACATTAGAGGGAATCAAGCAGATTAGAGTAGGTGTAAGAACACATCAGTGAGATGGAAGATAGGATAATGGAAAGCAAACAAGCTGAAGAGCAAAAAGAGAAAAGAATAATTTTTAAAAAATGAGAATAGGTTAAGAGAACTCAGCGACATCATCATGCGTAATAACATTTGGATTATAAGGATCCCAGGAGAAGAGAGAGAAAAGGGTGCAGAAAATTTATTTGAAGAAATAATAACTGAAAACTTCCTGAATCTGGCAAGGAAACAGACATCCAGATCCAGGACACACAGAGAACCCCCAACAAAATCAACCCAAGTGGATCCACACCAAGACACATAATAATTAAAATGATGAGAAGTAGTGATAGAGTTTCAAAAGCAGTAGGAAAAAAAGAAAACAAATTACATAAAGGGAAACCCCATAAAGCTCAGCAGAGTTTTCAGCAGAAACTTTGCATGCTAGAAAAAGTAGCATGATATACTCAAAGTGCTGAAAGAAAAAAAAAAAAAAAAGCCCTGCAACCAAGAGTACTCTGCCTATAGCAAGGCTATCATTCAGAATGGAAAGAAAGATGAAGAGTTCTCCAGACAAACAAAAGTTAAAGGAGTTCATGACTACTATGCCAGGTATACAAAATGTTAAAGGGAATTCTTTGTGTGGACAAAAAAGACCATCATCAGGAGTAATAAAGTTAGGATAGGATAGGAAAAAATTCACAGGTAAATGCAAACTTAATAAAAGAGGTAGATTAATCATCTACAATACCACTTCCAAGGATAAAACATGAAAGCAGTAAAACCAATTGTATCTATAAAATCAGTCAAGGGATTCACAGAATAGAAGAATGTAAAGTATGATACCATAAAAACATAAGAAGGGGAGTAAAAATGTAATGCTTTAAGAATGTGTTCAAACTTAAGTGACCATCAATGTAATATAGACTGTTAAATGCATAAGATGCTATATATGAACCTAATGGCAACCACAAACAAACACCTATAATAGATGTACCAAAAAAATAAAGATCCAACATATCACTAAAGAAAGCCATTAAATCACAAAGGAAAAGAATGAGAGGTGAAAGGAACAGAGAAGAACTACAAAAATGATAGAGCAAGTTACAAAACAGCAGCAAGTACACACCAATCAATAATCACTGTGAATGTAAATGAACTAAATGATCCAGTGCAAAGGCAGAGTGACTGAAAGTAAGACCCATCTATGTGCTGCCTACAGGAAACTCACTTCGACGTAAAGACACATGCATATGGAAAATGAAGGGATGAGAAAACCTTTATCGTGAAAATGGAAGCAAAAAGAAAGCAATATTTATATCAGACAAAATAGACTTTGATGTCTATTTGTCGTAAGAGATAAAGGACATTACGTAACTACAGTCCAACAAGAAGATATAACAATTACAAAAATCTATGCACCCAATATGGGAGCACCTAAATATATAAAACAACTACTAACAGACATAAAGGAAGAAAATGTAATACATAATAATACAGTAATACATAATAGTAAGGGACTTTAACACCCCACTTACATCAATGGATAGATCATCCAGACTAAAAATCAGGAAGGCAACAGTAGTTTTGCATTTGGACCAGATGGACCTAACAGATATATCCAGAATAATATTCCATTCAAAAATGGCAGAATACATATTCTTTTCAAGCACACATGGAACATTCTCCAGAACTGACCACATGTTAGGCAAAACAAGTCTCAATAAATTAAAAAAGATTGAAATTACATCATGCTTCTTTTCTGAACAAAATAGTATGAAACTAGAAATCAATTGTAAGAAAAAAAAATCTGGACAGGACACAAATACATAGAGGCTAAAAAACATGCTGCTACTAACCAATTTCTTTCAACCAAGATAGCAAAGAGGAAATCAAAAATACATGGAGACATATGCAAAAGAAAACACAACAGTCCAAAATTTGGGGGATGCAGCAAAAGCTGTTCTAAGAGGTAAGATTATGTCAATACAAGCCTACCTCAAGAAGTAAGAAAAACCTCAAAGAGGGGCCTGGCTGGCTCAGTGGGTTGGGCCTCTGCCTTCAGCTCAGGTCATGATCTCGGGAGCCTGGGATCGAGCCCCGTGTCGGGCTCTCTGCTCAGCAGGGAGCCTGCTTCCCCTTCTCTCTCTGCCTGCCTCTCTGCCTACTTGTGATCTCTCTCTCTGTCAAATAAATGAATAAAATCTTTAAAAAAAAAAAAAAAAAGAAAAAGAAAAACCTCAAAGAAACAACCTAACCTTACACCTAAAGGAGCTAGAAAAAGAAGAACAAACCAAACTCAAAGCCAGTAGAAGGAAAGATAAAATAAAGATTAGAGCAGAAAAAAATGTAATGAAGACTTAAAAAACAACACAACAGATCAATAAAACTAAGAGCTAGTTCTTTGAAAAATTAAACAAAATTGATAAAACTGTAGCCAAATTTATCAAGAAAAAAAAAGAGAGGACTCAAATAAATAAAATCAGAAATGAAGGAGAAATAAACACTCACACCACAGCAATACACGATATTATGAGAATACTATGAAAAATTATATGCCAACAGATTGGACAACCTAGAAGAAATGGATAAATTCCTAAAATCATACAACCTTCCAAATTGAGTCAGGAAGAAATAGAAAATTTAAACAGACCAATTATTAGCAATGAAATTAAATCAGTAATCACAAAACTCCTAACAAATAAAAGTCTGGGACCCAATGGCTTCACAGGCAAATTCCATGAAACATTTAAAGAAGAGATAATATGGGAAGCCTGGGTGGCTCAGTTGGTTAAGCCGCTGCCTTCAGCTGGGGTCATGATCCTGGGGTCCTGGGATCAAGTCCCACATCGGGCTCCTTGCTTCACAGGGAGCCTGCTTCCTCCTCTCTCTCTGCCTGCCTCTCTGCCTGCTTGTGTGTGCTCTCTCTCTCTCTGACAAATAAATAAAATCTTTAAAAAAAAAAAAAAAAAAAGAAGAGATAATATCTATTCTTCTCAAACTATTCTGAAAACATAGAAGAAGAAAGAAAACTTCTAAATTCATTCTGAGGCCAGCATTTACCCTGACAACAAAGATACTCCAAAAAATGATAAGAGAACTACAAGCCATTATCTTTGATGAATATAGATGCAAAAACCCTCAACAAAATATTAACAAACCAAACCAAGCAATACATTAAAAAAAATCACTCGATCAAGTGGGATTTATTCTAGGGATACAAGGTTGGTTCAATATTTGCAAATCAATCAACATGATACACCACAGTAATAAGAGAAAAGATAAAAATATATGATTATCTCAATAGATGTAGAAAAAGCATTGGACAAAGTACAACATCTACTCATGATAAAAACTCTTAACAACGTAGGTTCAGAGAGACCACCTCAACATAATAAAGCCATATGTGAAAAATCCATAGCTAACTTGATATTCAATGGTGAAAAACTGAGAGCTTTCCTTCTAAGGTCAGAAACAAGTCAAAGATGTCCACTTTCACCTTTTATTCATCATAACACTGGAAGCCCTAGCCACAGTAATCAGACAAGAAAAAGAAATAGGAAACACTGGCAAGGATGTGAAGAAAAGGGAGCCTTCAAGCACTGTTGGTAGGAATGCAACTTGGTGTAGCCACTGTGGAAGACAGTATGGAGGTTCCTCAAAAAAATTAAAAACAGAATTATCATATGACCTACTACTGGATATTTACTGAAAGAAAATGAAAACACTAATTAAAAAGGATATATGCACCTCTATATTTATCACAGTGTTCTTTACAATAGCCAAGATATGGAAGCAACTTAAGTGTCCCTTGGTACATGAATGGATAAAGAAAAGTGGTATATATATACAATGGAATATTACTCAGCCTTAGAAGAGAATGAAGTCTTGCCATTTGCAACAACATGGATGAAACTAGAAGCCTCTAGGATTCTAATTCTAATGCTAAGTGAAATAAATCAAGAAGGGAAAAACAAATACCATGTAATTTCATCCATGTGGAATTTAAGAAACAAAACCAACAAACAAACAAAGGAAAAAAGAGAAACAACAAAAACCAGACTCTTAAATACAAAGAACAAACAGTGGTTGCCAGATGGGACATGGGAGGGGCTATGGGTGAAATAGAGAAAGGAATTAAAGGTACATTTATCTTGATTTATCTTGATGAGCACTGAAAAATGTAGAGAATTATTCAATCATTAAATATTGTACACCTGTAACTAATATGACACGGGGTTAATTATACTTGAATAAAAAAATAATTTAAAAAAGAGATGCCATGAGAAAACAGCAAAGTAAATCTATGTCCAATGTAGTAATCTAGATGGAGGTCATGGTCACTGGTGAGTGGGGCATCTTGATCTGTGACAACTGTTTCAAGGAAGAAACTTTTAACGTGTCAACAGACATGTGACACTTAATATGCCCAAATACATATCTTTGGGAGACTTTTTTCCATGCAGAAAAAGTGAAAAATTTACTTTGTACTTATTAGAGATACTACAGTGGATGTAGACCCCAGCACTCCGAGACTGACCCCTATCGACACTAGAAAGAGGATGTTGTTATGCCACAGGCCATTTGACCAGGAGCTTATCAGGTAAACACACGCACACATAATCAGGACTGACTGTAGGGGAAGAAAGAATTTTCTTCTACTCATCATAGACTCTCAGATGACACTGTACAATAACAGATTAACAAGGCAAAAACAAACAAACAGAATACCCCAAAGCCCAAGTTTACTAACAGATATCTCACATCTACATAGGAAAGAGTGATTCAAAGAGGTGGCTTAGAACTCTGGTTTATATGACTTAAAGAACAATACCTTTATAGAGAAATCTTTATAGAAAAATCTCCAATCAACGTAATGAGTCAATCTCCAAGGTACCCTCCTTGGTGTCCTCAATGGAGTAGACCTTATTGTGGAGGGAGAACTGGACTCTCTTCTTCGGTGGTCATGGAGGGTCTGGCATGGTTGTGGGTGGCTCCAAATACTGAGGGAGAAGCTCTCCACAGGTTTCTGGGAGACGCAAGAAATAGAGAGCAGTGTCAGCATCTTGATGTCAAAAGCCCATAGGGGGATTGGACATTCTTCGCTTCTAGTCCATCCGTCTCCTGCCCCTACTCGCCAGCTGCCCAGCAGGCATTCCTCCCTCCTGGTGGCACTTAGGAAGAGATGGCCGTGTGCTGTGCTCTGAATTCCGCCCCCTCCAACACCCATAGGTTCTGTGGGCAACAGCTTATATGGAGCAGAGACAGGACAGAAACGCAACAGAGCGCCGTGAGCACGCCTGATGGCCTGGGTTCACATCCCATTGAGCAGACACACCTACCTGAGAGTGTTCCCCAGAACCCTCTGTGCCCCGTTTCCCTGCCCTCCGGCCTAGACGTTAGTGTGCCGTCACGGTGTCCCAAGTGATTGAGTCCAAGGAGCGCCTGGGACCTAGGGGAGGACGGGATGCTTCCCAGCCGCTCGGC